TATTTGTAATGTCATAACCACAAATTTCCTTTCTGATTCCTCTGTTTAGTATGTTATTACCTCTGGTAGAAACATTTATTTATGCCTTTATTACATATTCATGCACATAGAAACACAAATATACTCTTTATTAAAAGAGGTATCATTATAGAGTGAGTCTATTACAGACTTTAGCTCTGTATGGATGGCCAGTGACAAGGAAGAGAAAAGATGATATAAAGCCTGTAAGTACCAGGAGAAATGGCTGTAATTGTCATCCTAGAATAAAAGAGCAATGAAGATATAAAAACTGAAATTGTTTTTCAGCTTGGATGCAATAAATTCAGCTTCATTATTTTATTCCTAAGACAGACTCTTTCGCTAGCCATTGTGTCATAGTAAACAATTGCAAATTCAGACTGGCAGTCTAAATCCACCATGGCAAACACATAGACAGTCAATGCACCATAAAGCAGTTTACACATGAGCAGCAACAGGGCAGAGAAAGCATTGCTCATTATTTTCTTATATCATTCTTGAAGGTACAAAAGAAAGCACTGATGTTTATTGGTAAGATTGGCGCAAATGAATTCCTCATATTTTACCAATCACAAAGGCAATCCTCAATTCTAAGTTGCAAAGCAGAAATGTTTGGGAATCTTAAAAAACAAAACAAAAACAAAAGCACAAAACAGAGCTGAGCAGGCTTATCGTTAAGCATCATGTATTTTATGAAAGGTAAGTTCTATGGCTTGTTAGATTTGAAAGACGCTGTTGGACACTGAACGCTCTCTAGTCCTTCTTAAGTGTGCCTGAAACCACCTGTTTAATTTGGAGAAGTACTTATATAGCACATATAGGACACACCACATACAAAAAAGCCAACCAACTGATCCTGACAGCGTGATATTTAAGAAAGGAGATATGGACTTCTTGGTGTTTAAAAACTCATTTTATTTTACTTTATGTGTATGAATGTTTTTGCCTGCATATATGTTTGGTCCAACACGTGCACAGGTCAGAAGATGGCATCAAATTCCCTTGAACTGGAGGTACAGATGGTTGGCTGTGAGCACCAATACTGGTGCTGTGAACTGAGTCTGGGTCCTCTGGAAGAATAGCCAGTGCTCTTAACTGCTAGGCCATCTCTCCAGCCCCAATATCTTGTTACACCTGACATTAATATAATCTTCACTTTAATTTCAAGAGTTTTTAAAAGGTATACACAGGTTTAACCATTTGCCAATGTCTTGTATTTACATATTTGTTTGATTAGTTTCGGGCAAGTATCACAGTACCAAGAGAATAAGGAAATTTATGCAGCAATGTCTGGCTACTGCCTTAGTTCAACTATGCTTTTGGGTATCTTGGCATATTTTTTAGTGTCTGAATTCTTTCAGAGCTAAGCTCAAAGCCAATACAAATAGAGCAGCTGCAACTGCATTGTGCTATAGACAAGGCCAACTCAGATCATTGTGCTATGGAGATGAGAGCACTAAGCTGAACACCTGGCCCGGAAAACAAGCAGCTCTCTCTTAGTCAATGCCAAGGGGATGGTATCATCTAAGCAGAAGTCATACAAAAATCCTAAATATCAATAGTCATTTTATAATAAGAATATAAAGAAGCCTGTCCAAACCCTCCAAAACTACATATGAAACAACTAACTATATACATACACAATTGTTTTCTTTTCTGAATTAAATTTCAGTAGAGATTATTTTACTCAGTTGTTCTTCATTTCCCTATAAAATCACTTAAATGTCATGAGCAATGCATAAAATACACAAAGGACATTTTATACAGAGGAAAGCACAAATAAACCAAGGCAAAACCTCTAGAAAAATGTAAAAGAACACACACACACACACACATTCCCTTTAAGAGGCAAAAGCTATTCAAATGATTATAATTGTTTGAAGAATCTAAGACAAAACTCAGAACTACTAAAAACACTGTAAGCTTGTATATAAGCATGGTATCCAAAGGACTCAAAGATATTATTAGATAAAAATTCTAACTAGTTTCAATTTCCAAATGTAAATATACAGAGAACGTACTCTAGACATAAATCCCACCTGTTAATTTGTAATTCCCTTTATTGAGGAAAAAAAAAAAAACTAATTTGCACAGGCACACTCATTTCAAACAATCTCTTATGAAATGTTTACTAAAAAGCAAATGTTTATTATTTCAATTGACTAGAGGCTTCAGTTATACTAAGAGACTATATGTGAGATAAACTCACCCTATTTAAATCCTTATATAAATCATGTATATTTTATCCACTCAACTATTGATTGGATTTTGACATGTGCATATTGTACAAAGCAATAGAGGTGGTTACAAAGATGGTAAGAATAGACATTCACTGTTAAATGAGGAACAGAGACTACAAACAAACTAAAAGAGGCAAACAAGGAATGAATATGATCAAAATACATTATATACATGCATGAAATTGCCAATAAATAAAAAGGTTATTTATATAGCATGAAACAGACCTTTCTGGACAGTAAGTTTTATAAAGATCACCTATCGTCAAGATTTAAAGCATTCTCAAATGATATACCCAGTTACACTTTAAAATAATAAAACAAATATAATTTCATTTTTTCTTAATGGTTCAGGATTGCTGTTACCAGTGTTAACTTCTGTATAATATAATACGCTGAAAGAAAATGACATGTTCCTGGGCTACTAGAACATGTTAGCTATCTGTCTTTTTTTTTCTTTTTTTGAAGGGGGAGCTGATAAAAAATTGGGTTCTGTTCCAACAGTTAATTCTAGAGAATTGTCTAGGTGAGGGCTTCTTAGTGGTTGACTCCCCTAGAAATACACGGCTTGGAGACCATGCCTTTGCACATCAGGAGTCTTGTCTTACCGTCTTTATGATTATCAAATGGGTACATGGTCTGTAAGCAGTGCTTGGGATTAAGTACTCTCCTTTCATTGCCTTGAAACATATACTTACAAATGGTTAGTTTTATTAAGATAACAAATTAGTTGCCAATTTGTTATTTAAATAAGTGAAAATTGCAGTTCTTAATGAATTAAAACTTTAAAAAAGCCTGACCATAAAACTTAACACACAATTTAGGACACTCTTCATTGTTACCACAGTGCAGACAGTATTCTCATTTGTAAACTTTAAGAAAAATGTAAAAAAAAAAAAAAAAAAAAAAAAAAAAAAAATCACCATTTGGTTTCTGCTAGACAAGTATAAACATGCTGAATTAGAACTCAATCTAGTCAACTATATCGCTGAACTCTGTCCACAGGGAGTTTTAAATATGGTTAACTGCTATAAAATATACCTAGTTACACATTGAAAAAATAGCAAAACAAAACAAAAAAATCATTATTTTTAAAAATTTGGGATCACTATTATTACTGTGACCTGCTGTGTAATACTCACTAATGTATGATGCTATCCTTCACAGTACCTGTCAGAGTGAGGGTGTTCACTGCTGTGAGAAAACACCATGACCAAAAGCAACTTGGGGAGGAAAGGGTTCATTTCAGCTTAAAGTTCCACATCACAGTTCATCACAGGGGGAAATAAGGACAGGAACCTGGAAGGACAGGAACCTGGAAGGACAGAACCTGGAAGGACAAGAACCTGGAGGCAGGAGCTGATGGAACCTGGAGGTTATAGAGGGGTGTTGTTTACTGGCTTGCTCAATGTGCTTTCTCGTGCACTGCAGAACTACCAACCCAGGAGAACACAACCCATGATGGGTTGGGCACCAAATCAATCACTAATCAAGGCATTACTCCACAAACTTGCCTAAAGTCCAGTTTTATAAAGACATTTTCTAAAGTAAGATTCCTTCTTCCCAGGTATGTCAAGTTGACAGGAAACCAACCAGCACAATTACTAATACATCTTAAGCTATTCTGACTTCTTCTTTGTTAAAAAAAAAGAAGAGAAGGTGAAAGAAATGTTTTTTTTTTTCCATTCATAAAAATTAAAGCACATGTAGCTGTGTCTATGGAACTAAGAAATTTACTAAGACATTAAACCTGATGCTCTTCAATAGCTGCCACATTCTGATTACAGTATTAATTTAACATTCACTTGCAGTCTACAGAAACCTGTAAAACTGTCAAAGGTTCTCACAGAAACCTAGATATCCAAACTCCACCCACTCTTAATGTAGAAGAGTTTAAGAATATTGTTCTTCAGAGTTAACAGATACAAAACCTCTATTTGTGTTCACTAACTTCATCATACATCCAAAAAAAAAAAAAAAAAATTCTACTTAAAAGGACATCTCAACTTAAAAGTATTGGAATAAGAACCTTGAAACAATTCTCTTCAAATATGCCTTTCATAACACTACAAATTTTAATGTTTACAAAATAGGTACATTTCTTACCCAATACTCAAAGAACAAAGATGGCTTAATGAGTTACTTGAGGCTGGCAAGATGGCTCAGCAGGTTTAAGCCACACAAGACCTGAGTTCAATCCCTGGAATCCAGATAGAAGTAGAAGAGGGGACCTCCACATGTACATCATAGCAAATGCATACACACACACACACACACACACACACACACACACACACACACACACACACACTTTTGCAGTGAGATAGAAATGCTGCACCTGGTGGCCAGCTACCCTGCTCTATTATGAGTTTTCCCATTTCAGTATGCTTTTGGCAAACTTTTGTATTTGGTATTAATATATTTTTAGCTAATACCTGGATTAAAGGACATCTGCAAAGATTTGCACTCTATAGTTCAGAAAAATTCAAATTTAAGGTACCTGCTTATTTTTTAAAAAATAGTTCACAAGCAAAACCAATTTTCCCTAAAATCTAATAGACTTCATACTGGACATGATTTATAGTTAAGCAATAGAAGTTTATAGCTCTGGCCTTTATCCTCAGTATTATAGTGAAATTCCTGAGGAACAAAATGTTTGGATTACTTTAGTCTCAGAAGTAAAAGGGGTTTTTTCGTTTGTTTGTTTTTGATTTTTTTTTTTTTTTAGGGGAAAACAACACTTACCGGGACTTTGAAAGGGGAGGTATTCGCAGTGTCCATGGAGTTGGGTTTCTCTGATGTGCTGGTCCCTGATATACTCCGTCTGCGGGGGGACCTTTCTGCTGGCACCTCTGGAAAAGTAGAGGAAGCAGAAACATCATGAAGAATCCAAATTTCAGACTTTTCCTAAACTATAAAATTGTTTTATCACACACATAACTGTTCTCTTTAAAGGTCCACTACATTTTTTATCTTAACATGCTTTAGGTATCTTTGTGATGTTTGACCTATGGAGAAAAAGAAACTGGTCAGGGTTAAGAGTCTATTCTAAGAGACAACTTGTGTCTTCATCTGTGCATATATAAGAAGCAATTCTTCTGAGCTATTATATGTTTAAGGTTTTCAGGCTCATTTAATAGTTAAATCATGTACTGTACGGCTCTATTTCTCTATTAGCCATTTAGAAGTTAAGTGAATCAGAAATTCTAATATTCTTGTGAACCATGATTTGACACTGCCTGCACAAAGGTCAAAGTTCGGTTCTATACAAATGATTCACCAGACTATAATAAAAGCTATGAGAAGACTGAAAGGTGATGCAGGATAAAAGAATATACATGCCTATGCAGATACAAAAATAGACCAGCTTCTCCTTGTTCCGGCTATGTGACCTTACCCACATCTTACTCTGAAATCATAAATCTGTTCAAATGATCCAACAAGGTTAGGATTCTGCAAATGATGTGATCTCAAATTTAATAGCTATAAACCACACTCACGCTACATTTTGAAGATTTTTTCATACATTTACACATATATACATGCACATACAGATATTTATACATATTATACCTTTATCACAACTGCTTCCCATCTCCACTTCAACTGACAGACAGATAGGAATCCAGCTTCTCAGATAACATTAGATAATCTCAACATGAACAAGAAGAAAAAAAAAAAAAAAACACATCCTAAAAAAAGTATTCTGTGTTATCTTCCAGATCTTAAAAAATAAAGAGTAAACCATGACTCCGGAGACTGACATTTTGATTCCTGCTGTTCTGCCTTTAAAAGATAGATGCAGTTTAAACTTCCATTTCTGGCCTCCTGGCCCCTGGGATCCGTGCTACTTCCACTTAAGAGAAAGCATTTTTTCTCATGCTCCCTCCCTGCCTTGCTCTTCCCCCTCCCTCTCTACAGCTTGCAGAGAGCGAGCGAGAAAGAAACACACAGGACTGCAGCTATTCATTCAATCAATCGTCCGACTGCACATCCTCATTAGTTACTTTTAGGCTATTAACAGGCATCCATTGCCTCCCCTCACTTACAGAAAATCTCTCTGTATTACACTAATCTGTAACAGAAAAAAAAGCACTGAAATTTAAATTTGGCTAGTGTTAAAAGGACACCATTTTACACAGACCCAGTAATGCACGCAAATCAATGCTGCCGAAGAAGAGCCAACTGGAAGTGCTTACCCTATTACTGTTTGCATGCTGGATACAGGTCTTCTTTTCATCTCCTTGTGACATCTTGACCATTAAGACATTAGCCAAATTACAATATTCCTAATGACTGAGAAGTTGATACCGCAGCTTATATGCCTGCAGTAGAAGACAGTTCCGTGATATTGCTGTATTTTAAATTTATGACTAGTAACTGTGTCGGCTTCTCTCTAACCATCAGTGGATAAATGAGTCTTAATGCACGAAGTCATTTTCAGAATTAGGCACACGTGACTTCTAACATACATCTCTGAAAGATGGCAGTATAATTAACTCAGATTCATGGCGATGGCACAAAGGAATTTAAGCAAATCAGCTTCTTGGCGTACACCACACAATAAGACCTTCAGACTTCAAGACATGACTTTAAGGGTGATATATTCAATCCTAGTCAAGTGATTCTAAAGTTGGGGGACATGACAGGCAGACATGCTAAGGCAGGAGAACATCTCATATTTTATAATTATCTGTAAAGGTTCTGTAACTTCATATTAAGATGCAGATATTTTAATCTCTGAATAAATGACAGAGAATCCAAACTGGGAGAAAAATAAGTTTAATTAGCTACGATAAAATGATAGAATGAAACTGTTTCCTTAATATGCAATGTTCTGGTTAATGAAAAAAATTGAAACTCATTTCCTCACTTTCTCCCAAACATCTAATTTTAGTTTTGGGCTTATGAACTCATTAGGCAAATATATTTCAATGCTTTCACTGTTTGAAATTGTATTGGCTAAAGTGAGCAACTACATTTCAAAACCCAGTAACTATGTTTACTTACTATACTTTTTATCTCCATATGATAAAAATAAACAACTCTAGTAGTTCAGAGGTTATTATATCCAAAGAGAATAAATTAAATTATTCTTGAAGAGATAAAGTAACTCAACCCGTGAAAAGAGTAAGTACTTTATATTAAAGTACAAATATTTATCTACAAATAATTTATCTCTAGATACAGAATAATCCCTTGAATGACCATGAGTTTTATTTTCACAAGGTCTGTTCCCTTAAAGACCAACGCTAACTTAAAAAGAAGATAGTGATCTCAACAGGAGACTAACTGGAAGCTTGCTGGATTTGTCAGTCACTGGTAGGCCCTGCTGTGTGTACAGAGTGTGTGCCTGTGTAACGCAGATGATAGAGGTCAGGCTTGTGAAGTCCACAGGAAAGCAAAGACTCAGAGCTGTTTGTGTGATATTCTGTACTAAGAATTTGAGGTTTCTGGTCAGCTGGGATTGAAAAGTTGGCTGTGATTATCAAAAAAGAACAACCCCACTAAAGTGAAATCTTTGCTATACTGTGACAATTGATGCTAGTTAGATGGGGCTGAAAAATCAGCTGTACTTAATATGAGATGAGCACGACTGAGGTGTAATCTGCTGGGAAGTTTTTCCCCTCCCCAGGGTCAGCACACAGAGCTGTGCTTCAGAGGAAGCCAAGGCTGCATCTCAAGCTGACAGCTGAACTTAGTACTGTGTAAAAGTCCTCAGCATGGTTTTTGTGACCATTAGACCTACAGGATGGAAAGTCTCATGGAAAGCATCTGAGAGGTGACACTGAAAAAGGACAGCAGAGAACATTGGTGAAGGTCAAGTTTCAGTTGCAGTTGAGACCAGAGCATATTGGAGATGCCAGGACCGTGGTGATCTCTAAGAAAAACTGCAGGTGTGCAGTGGAGCTGGTCTGTGCCTACCGGACAAGCTATGTGTGATGTGGACGGCAATGCTGGAGAAAAAGGAGCTGCCCAACTACTTGGGAGCCCAAATGTTACACAATGAAATATTTACATTGTTGGATAGTTTTGTCTTGATTGTATTTGTCTGGTTCTTCCTTCTTGGAATAAGAAGTATGTAACTTTTTTATTGTACAGGAGCCCACAGTGGAGAGACTTTGGACTTTTAAAGAGTCACTGGATTTTCAGAAAGCCTAAGCCTTTATCTTAAGTTTCTAATACAAAAGGTATCTCTGGTTCTTAGTGGTAACAGCCAGGCATTTTGACTGACAAAAAATAAAAATACTTTAAGACCAAGCCATCATTTATTATGCTTTATTTCAGAGAAATGTTTTAAATGACTTCCATCTGTAATCCAGACAGTAATACTTTAGATCTGGAATTATCCTCCCCATTTTACAGACACTGAAACAAGATGTTCTAGTACTCTACCCATGTCTGCCCAGCAGGCAAGAGGCAAAATGAGGATTAGAACCCACGCAGTCTGCATTTAGAGCCTGTGCTTTTAACCACCAGGCATGCTACCTTGCTCTCTGTGTTTTACATAATCGGCTATAATGGCGGGAAACCGTAACTACAGAGATGCTCGCTTTCTCACTGTTCCTAAAAACAACTCAAGAATCTCTAACAGTATGTTCACAATTCTTTGTATTTTTAAGGAAGAGTAAGGCATACATACTAAGTGTTTACTCCAAACATGGCCTATCAAGGAAGACTTAACCCTGGAATCCTGATGCTGGTAAGACGCTCCAAGACAAAAACACACAGAACTGAGGCACTGAGACAAGGGGGAAGGCATGTAACTTAATAACACAGTGTAACAGTGAAAAGAAAAAAAAAGAATACCTGAAACTATTTATGTTAAAACATAGGTGGTGGGAGTAGGAAACATTATAGAAAATAATATGCCCTTCAACACTTTTATAGTAATCTTCAATATATGAGACAACTACCTCCACAAATTCTAGGAGACAGACTAAATTAATTAAGGTCTTAGGCTTTGCAAAGAATAACCTCTAAATAACTAACAGTACTGTTCGGCCTAAAATGATCATTTCGAGCATTTCAATCTATTTATAAGATTTTTCTAGCCTCACAGTTTTGGTAGGTTACATTTGTTGTCAACTCTGGAAGATATTATCTCTTCAGATTTCTACAGATAGCCCTTAAGACTTTTTCTGTATTACCCCCACTTTGTTGTTGCTATTTTTCTTTTTCTTTTTTCCAGAGACAAGGTCAAGCCCCACCCCCCCCAATCTCATGATTCTTTATCAGCCTCTGAGTGCCGGGAATACAGGTGTGTGCCCTTGCATATGTCCTGTCTTGGGTTTTTCTGACGCTAAGTTAATAATATGTTTTGCTTTCTAATAAGCATCACTTATTAAAGCATAAAGTAATGTGTATCACTTTATTTACAGATATGCTCTATAATTTTTAACACTGTGTCTATAACTGACTCAGTAATGTAACTGGAGGTACATGCTTAGGTTTACTGAAACAATAATTTCAGTATTCAGGGATTATTTTAAAAAGATTTAGACTGATTATGCCAAGGCATTTTAAAAACAGTTTAGTTCCTCCCTCATATATAACTTTTATTAATAAAATGAATGTACTGAAAAAAGAAAAACCCAGATTTTAGGGAGGCTGAGGCAGAAAAGATAACCTCAGCCCAGGAGTCTGAGGTCACCCTAAGCAATATCAAGAGAACCTGATCCCACAAACAAGGCAAAAAATGGGCATGGAGGAAATGATGGAGAAGGAAAGAATAGACAAGAGAGAGAATATGAATACAAATGTATAGACCGGTAATATAAATATGAAACAAGCATTTACTGAGAATAAAATGTGCATATGGCATGGCATAAAACCAAATACTGAGCATCAG